ATTAAATTATAAAATTAAAGTAATTTTTGTATACCTCAAGTGAATAGTTTAATTAATTAAAAATTTTAAATTTCAAATTTATATTTGAAATCAAGTGAGGGTTTTAAAAAAAATTATTATCTTTTTTTATATAATTCATCATCATATATATTTTAAAAAATTATATAAATAGTTATTATACAAAAAATAAAAAAATATTTTATAACCATGAATAGGTTTTTATCAATTTAAATAAATATAGAAGATTAAAATAATTACACAAAAAATATAAATATTTTGTACAATTCTTATTGCACAAAATTAATTCAATATTGGAGTGCATTATGTTAACACGATCAAATTTAATTCAATAGAACTGTGTTAAGATGTTGATCATTTTTGGACGTACAAGGGAGCCTTGTTTGACCGATATTGCGCGTACATACTTCCATAGCCATCAACATTTTGGGAAATGTGTAGTACTAGTAGTACCAATGGTATATATTATACTATGGTTTTTTTAATGCATGTTTTTAAAATATAAATTAAAAATATAATAATTATATTTTTAACATATATATTATTTTAAAAAATACAAATTAAAATATTTTTTAAAAAAATAAAAAAAATATAATTTTAATTATATCAAACTATATAATTATAATATATTAAATTAAAATAAATTTTTTTAATATTAAATACTTTTTCATATTTAATAATTCTTAATTTAAAATAAATTCAATAAAAAATTACAAAACGAAAAACTGTTTTTAAGTCCTACATATAATATATTGTATAAAATGAAAGAAATAAAGGAAGGAAGTCAAGAAGGGCGGTGGTGAGTAGTGATAGCCGATAGGGGGAGGGGAGAGGCTTGGATTTGACAAGGGCATCTTTAAGTTATGTCAATGGTCATATCAAAGATGCGTCGTAAATATGCTGCGGTGTATGGTAGATACCCAGCTACATACGTACCTAACCTCCATTGGCCTATTTTTTCCAAGGCATGGACATGGGACTACATATATTCTGATGCGATCAATTCTGCCTCATTTCATTTTCTTTCTTGTCTTTAATTTTAATTTCTCAAAATATAAATGCCAAATTCAAGTAATCAACGCCGCATTACATGAGATATAAATTCTGTCGTCTTGGTTTATTGTCTTGGGCAGGCGAGGCAATTAATGGTCCAGCTATGCCACTTCCGCCCACAAAATTTCAACATCACAATCTTCTTCTTCTTCTTCTTCTTCCTTCTTTCTTTCTTTCTTTCCCCCCTTTTTTTTAATTATCTAACAGAAAGCACAAGCTGGATCTGGTGTCGACACTATATTGCATGCATTTCAACATCACAATCTTCTTCTTCTTCTTCTTCTTCCTTCTTTCTTTCTTTCTTTCCCCCCTTTTTTTTAATTATTTTTTTATTTTATTATAAGCAATGATTATAATCACTATAATTTTTGTTAAGTTTATTAAATATTTTCAAATTTTTATTTTAATATTAATTATTAAAAATAATTAATAATAAATAAAATAATTAATATTTATCATTTAATAAATTAAAATTAATTTATAAATAAATATTTTTAAATATCATAATTAATTTACA